GTTGCTGTTTGTTTGGGCCACACACACACACACCATATTAGCCCGGGGTATTTTGCGCCGTTTAACTTCTTTCCTTTTAGCGACACAAAAAAATTGACAAAATAGAACAACTTTCGAAACTTATTAAATAAACTCCTTGTTGCCAAACAATGGATAAACTAAAAGTTTTTTTTTAATATTTAGTAAGCATAGGAAGGTTATATTACATATATATATATAGGTATATACTGTGGTGCGACATAGAAATTTGCAAATAAAAAGCTTTGTTATTTGCGTCGAAAATTGAAAGACCATATATCTGCCCACACTATTCACACACAGCCAATAACGAAGATATTTCATACAACATACATATATACACCATATTGTATCACATGTCTCCACAACGCTTATTTGACGGAGCTGTCATGTGACTTTGAAAATTAATCAATCACATGGCTCGGTCCCTTTCATCTCTTTCTCACCATCGGCTAGTAACAGAATCCTTCTTTGTTTGTACCGTTGCTTTACTGAAAGAGCCGAATGGAAACAGGTCGCCCATACCTTTGGTGATCGGAAAACAATGGCAGCTAGTGACACACTTTCACCGTTAATCCGAACTTAATGATGTGTAAATGGACCCATTCACTCATACACGTGCGCTAAATGACGAAAAGCTTTTAATATCCTAATTCTCGTAATGTTAAAATACAGTAAACAATAAGAAAAGATTACGGCGAAAGCAACTAATTGTTACTTGTCACATTTGATGTTGTTCCATAAGTGAAATGTTAAACTAAACAGTTATGGAATCAAGAAATCGCCAAATATCACCGTTTGCAATGTTTTTGCTTGGAAGACGAAAAAGACAAAGAAATGCTTTGAGTTTGAGTAATACAAAATTCTTCGAGTGTTTCTTGATAAGATTATCGCGTAGATCCATCACAAAAGTATTCCTCTCATAATCATATGGCACAAATTTTCAATTTAATATTTCATCTACCTTTCAATAATGGAGTATATTGTAGCGAACATTAATAAAAAATACTAAATATTTTCATAACTAATTCAGAAGAATTTTTCATTAAATCACATTTTAATTTTTTTTAAGCATGTTGGCAACACGTATTTTAAATTATTTTAGCGCTGGTGTTGGAAATTTTCATCCGCAACAGACTGAAAATGCAAAACGCTACATAAAAGATTCCCTGTCATGTGTTCTTACACCTGCGCCTATTTAGTTTCGATCTAGCAAAGCATGGACTTCGAAGAGAGAGGAGAAATGCTTCTATATGATATCCTAAGGAAAATTTGATATTTGTTAACTTTTAAAAGTTAATTCTAAAAGGTTTATTGTATACTTTCGAGATTTTTAAAAGAATTACAAAAATCCAAAAAAAACTTTTTTAAATCTTTAGATATTAATCTGATAGTTCAGTTTTTGGATGATTTAGTGTTTCAATTTTTTCATATCTTCTCCTCAAAATTTCACAATAATAAAATAAATAAATGCATAATATGAAAACAGTTATTTTCCAATTAATACAATTTGAGAATTGTGTAATGAGTAAAAACAAGAAGAAACGTTAACTTTGACTACCCCGAAGTTATGGTATCATTTACTGGCACGTTTCTTATCATTATACTGCTTTTGATAGGTCAGTTTGAATACCAGCTATATGCTAGTCCAATCTGAACAATATGTTCGGAGATTGTAGCGTTGTCTTGGCCAATAATCTGTGCTCTAAACGCTTTCCATACAAGAACTTGATTTTGGTCGATAAGTTTGTATGGTCACTATAATGGTCGCTATAACCTTCGACGATTCCGTCAAATGAACAGCTTCATGTGCAAAATGTTAGACCGATATCTCAAAAACTTAGGGAAAATACGAGTACTAGCTTGTAGGATTTCCTAAGATTCTTTCTAGGTGTTACAAACTTCAAGGCAAAGTTAATATACTCTGTTCAAGGTGTAAAAATACCGGCTCCAAAAGCATTTTTAGGAGCAACCTTAGACTCCTGAGGGGTTCATCTTCTCATAATCAATGATAATATACAAAAATAAATATTTTTTAATGTGAAGGATCGAATTTTAGTAAATAATACTTTTAAATAAGTATCAGCGTTTACACAGACGGACATGACTAAATCAACTCAGCACATCATGCTGCCTTTATGTATATATAATATTTTATAGGGTCTCCGACGTTTACTTCTGGGTGTTACAACAGGAACAACAAAAGAACAATACAAAGCGCATAAGCCTGTTACCTTAAAGAAAGTAATGTGCTTAAAAAGCGAATTCATAGGATCAAAATACTTATACTCGTATATCAGCAATTAAGTTTAAGTCTGTTTTGTACTCTCTTTTCCCCGTGTTTCTATTTTATTTTAACTTTTTCTATGTCCATGTCTTCTCCGTGTTGTTCGTTAATTAAGGTAATCAATGTAAAAAACTTGTTCGTTATAAGCGGTTTTCGTTAAACCGAATATTCGTTATTTCGGAATAATACTGTATGTATGTATGTAATTAATTCCCCATTACTACTTTAAAGTTGGAGTGTTGGGTGAATACAAGTACACATAGGTAAAACAAGATGTGAATGCTTGTATGGACAATATAATTAACTTAAATACATCCATATATAAATATAGCTCGATTTGGACTAAAGTCCTTATGAGATTTTGAAAACCTTATTTAATCTCCAAAAACTTATTATATTACTGAATGCAAAGTTGATTATTTATTTTAGCAAATGAGACAGAGTGATGCGTTTACGTAATTCCTTTCAGAATTCCTTTTCGCCATAATTTGTAAATTATAATAAAAAGACTTTTAAAATATTAAAGAAAAACGCTTGAATAGCCTACTCTCAGCTCTAAATATGATATGTTTTTGTTATTGTTGTTCTCCCACTCCCATCATCCTGCTCATCATTCACACTTCGCAGGCTTTTAAGTAATTCCTGAGGAGCTTCCAACCCCCTCCGCCTGGTGTTTTTCTTCGTTTTACGGGACTTTTTATTCAATCCCTTGCCATATTTGCAATTTCATCCACACCAAATATGCAAATGAATTCGGCTTTATGTTAAATTATATGTAATGGAGAGATGCGAATGGAGAGATGCGAGTTACACGCATTTCTTATGACATCGAGCAAACACCCGTCTAACCTCTGCACCCCTGGGGTGATAACCGGGCAAATCATGTTGTTCTACAACACGCCAATAAATGTGTGAATATGAGTGCGGATATGTGTGTGTGTGTGCTTGCTAGGGAGGGGGTAACATGCGAAATAATTTCGCATTATTACCAGCAATTTATATGCAAACGAAAACTATAAAAGAAAATTGTTCACCACGGTGTTTTCGCATGGAAGTGTGATGGTGTGTGCGCATGTGGTTTTGGAAGAATTTGTCACAATCAGATTGCGGTATCGTTTAGATGTGATAAAGTGACTATTAATTTGTACTTTGCACATTTCTCGATTGCGGTTAGAGGTTGCCATTAGAGTGTGCAAAATAATTTCAATCCCAGAGGAAGGAGACAGACATTGTGGATTGAATTATTGAAATTGAATATAAATTATTAAATTTTAACGCCACTTACACACATATGAACATGTACAAACACACAGAGGGTTTCCTGTTAGAAAAAAAATTGAACAGATAAATTCAAGGTAATAATTTCAGATTCAGAACTTAATTAATTTTCTTTATGAGCAATGAGCGATTTTATTTTATCTTTGAAATATAAATTTATCAAGGTCATCTTAGGAAGTGTGATCCTCATAGATGTCTGATGAAAACAAAATCATAAACACACGAAATATCGACTGTACTCTAAAATCAACTTGATTAGAAGAAATAAGTACATCCAAAATATTATTTCATTATAACAGTATTCTTTATCGAATAACCTTTTGCTGTTCAAAGCAAGATAGCTTACTTTTATTGGGATATCTGGCACCCTGGCCTGGCCCTGTAAGGTATTAAACCAGCATAAAGGGAAAATATTCTCAAATTCTATATAGCAATTCTTATCGTCTGATCCATTCAACTGCTTATTTTACTATGTTTATCTATCTCGATTACCTTTTTTTCTACTAGACTGAATCACAGCAAAAAGCTTAATAGCAATACAGACACACAGTCGAACATGGCTAAATCGACTCAGCTCATCATGCTGATCATTTATGTATGTATTTTATAGGTTCTTCGTCGTTTCCTTTTGGGTGTTACAAACTTCGTGGCAAACTTAACTTACTCTGGGCAGGGTATAAAATAAAAAGAAATAAAGTGTGTGAAATCAATTCAAAATCGTTTTCTTTAATTTATTTTCTAAGATATTTATAGAATATTTAAGCTTCAAAATGATCGGTTGCATCATTTATTTATACTATTTCCTCTTTATTCTTATTTAATATTCTACGATAATGTCGTGATTTTTATAAATTTGTGTATAGAATAATATTATAGATTATTTTGTTCTTACGCTTCTAATTTTCAGAGAGAGAGAGAGACGTATTTGAAATAGGTATATGGTAAATCTTCGCAGTTCTAGTGTTAAATGTCTACTTTTTTTTGAATTTAAAGATATTGTTATATTGATTATAATTTAAAATCGGGTTATGAATTTTCTCTGCACCACCGTAATAATCTAATGAAAGAATCCCGGCGGAGCAATGTTTCTCTCCAACCACTTGAACATAAGGCATGGAAATCAGAAAAGTCCACTCAATATCACTCACTTAAAAAGCGACATTTGCCCTCAGACTTTCATGGAAAGCATACATGCTTACCAATAAGAACACAAACAATGAATAATTTTTTTGCAACAAGGAAGCGTCCAAACCGTCGACGTCACTCATGCACTTATTCGCAGACAAGACGAGACAGGAAAAATGTATAGAAAAAGGATGATAACAAGAACGAAGATATCTCTCTTGTTATAACAAAAATAGCAGTGGGAGAGAAAAAATGCATATATATAGCTGTCGTGTAAAAAGGGTGCACTCACCGAGATGTGATAGTAGCAAAAGCAAAAGAATATGGCAACTTGTCCTCATGTCTTTGTTTTGGTTGCCTTTACGCGAGATCTTAGGATGTTTTATTATTATTTTCTTTATCTGCCTTTAGTCTAGTTGCCCTGACTTGATGATGTTTTCAGGATATTTCCCGGTTTCAAGCGGGATTTTACACTATGTATAAACTTTTTTTTATTAGAGTAGCGAAATCGCTGATTAGTTAATTTGAACTATAATTTTAGTAAAGTGTTTTTTTCTTTTCTTTAGTAATTTTGATTTTGGTATTTATTCACAACTCTTTTATTCGAATTTGCAAATCACTTGTAAATCATGAAGTGAAATATTATCACCAACACTATATCTACGAGTATTCTATATCTTTAGGTGTACCTTGTCAAGTGATATTTTTAATATATTCACAAATTTTAACTTTCTGTCTATTCCTTTGAAAATCACTCTTTTAGTAGATGAAATGCACTTTTAATTTTAAACTTTCGAATCACCGTACACACTCAGACCATTCAATTATATTTGATTTTGTGTTTTAGCTATTTGTTTATCCAAATTTGGCCTCTTTATTATATTTATGAATATGTATGTGGTAAACAATTTTGGCACTTTTTCGTTTTCACTGAAACTCTCTTGTTCTATTTCGCGCCGTTGGACTTTTTCAGTGCGCAAAGCTTATAAACATACCAGATGTGTAAGTGTGTATGTATTTTGCTCACATCACTGCACATTTACAATTATTTACCGATTTTCACCGACTTGATCTTTCCGCATCGCTTGTCATTCGAACACTGATTAAAGCGACGAACTCCTTTAAAGTAACGTGAAATTTTTAATTACCACTCGCCTTTCAATGCAATTCGATTGCGATTTTTTTGTTGCTCACTCAGCACTCGAACTTATTCAGTGCAATGAATTGCAGCAGCGTTCACGACGGCGAATGCTTTGCGAAAGTCGCGCGGTACATTTTTAGCACACACATTCTCTTTGCTTATATATGTATGTATGTATTTCGCCGTTGCTTTGGCTCTTTCCGTTTCCGTTTTCCGCGCGCTCGTTCATTCACAACTCACACTCTCCGCCAACTGTTTGTCGCTAACGTTGTTGCTGTTACTGCTGTTTGATAGGCGCAAGCAATTGCGATTGTGGCATTACACTTGACATTTACGAAGTCGCCTGTGTCGTCCAACAGCTTCCACCGACATTAAACATCGACACTGGCAGCAACACCCAAACCAACACCGCTATCTACCTCAACACCACGAAGCAATGCACTCACAACGTGTATGCGCTCTCTTATATTTCCCGCACTGACTGCTTGCGCTCTCCTCATACACTCACACGAACTCACTAGCCGGATGGGCGGACGCGCACACAACTCCTCTTATCACACCGTCCTCACCAAGTAGATTCCTTTGCTGGCTTACACAACTCACAACTGCCTCTTTAATTGGCTGACTTGCTCTACTGTTTCCATTATCCGCCAAACCGTGCACGTCCTTCGAGCTATCAGCTGCAACTGAGCACCGGCGCAACTTGGACGCCGTGGTCTAGTCGATGTACCATGCACCGGTATACCTTCTTGGCAGCTTTGCTTTGGTGTGGTGTTTTAGCAACTCTTTTGTGTGGCTCACGTTGGCAGCCATGTTTGTGTGCCGGTCGTGGTGCGCATGCTCACCACTGTGGGCCGATAAGCGTCCTGGCGGCAACACACGCACGGCAAACACTTTGTGCTTATCACATTCCTCTGTTTCTTTGTTCGTTTTTGCTTTGGCGCGGCGCGCTTTTTGGTATTTTGTTATCGTCCGCTTTCTGCTTACTTGTGTGCTTCCATGTATCAGATTTTGTTGCCCGTGGTTAGGGACAAAAACAGCAGCAACACACCGCCCAAAACTATGCGTATCAGCAGCAAGGCTTACAAAATCTCTGGACGCTGGGTTTTCTGAGAATTTGTTTGTTATGTAAATAACTTATTTACTCTTCTGTTGCTGGTGAACCGCCCGTGCAGGCATACCGCAATTAAAAAGGGAGAGAACATGAGTGTTTTAGGCTTAATGTTTCTAAAAAAAAGTATCCCAGCTGAGAGCTCCTGATTTCACGCTCCGCACGTAATCACAAATACTGCCCAAACATAATTTTTTAGGTAAAATGTTGACAAAAAGCACCTCATCCACTCATTATTTGAGTATATTCACTAATAAGGGGCGCAGGGAGCTTTTCGTGCTAAAACGAAGTAATTAAATTGTTCGGTGAAGTCCGAGCAAAGTGAGAAGGCGACAATTAGATAAGCAAGTTGTCAATGGAAGTTAAAGAACGGCCACTTCATTTCTAATTTTGATAAGTTTCTGATTTATACAGTAAAATCACAGAGCACTGAAATAGTGATGCGGTGTGTTGCATTATCCTTTTGAAATTCTTGTCTTAACTTAGCTCCAGAGTGAGTATTGAAATACCGTTGCCAGTCTGTCTCTACCACAAGCCAGTATCGAAGGTTTAAAGATCTAACTTCTTAATTAAAAACTCCTAAATGTGATTATGATGCAGTTTGTCAATCTTGATAAAAATATATGTCCTGATTTATAAAATAACGGATGATTCGTAATTCTGGTCTTACACAAGATGTACTCATTGCGTGTTCAAAGAAAAGGATTTAGTTATTTTTATATACTTCATGAATCGTTCGTTCTAATAAAAACTACGTAACTAGGATTTAAATCATTATATACTGTCACCGTTTATGTTTTGTCTTATCTCTCTACTTCGGAAAGTTCGAGTGGAAGAGAATAATTCCCGGCAAATTTCAAAAGTTCATTTATTTCGCAGATCAAATGAAGATGAACAAGCCCCATGGGTTCAAATACAATTTCGTCAGAGTAATAAAAAGATAAAATACTTAAAATTTCAGCAATAAAAAGTTTATTTCCAAATGGCGGAAATGCCACGACAACACATCCCCATTAAAGCGACTAAGCTGCGATTGCAGGAGTTGGTTTTAGTGGTTTTAGAAAATTTTTAGTTTACGCAGCAAACACCAGCGACTAAAATTTTCGGTAAACTACATTAGTAGCACAAAGAGGCGGAAAGGTCGCTAGTTGCTGCTTGGCCGTTAACAACGTCGGTAGACATGATGCGGAGGCTGGCGGGAAAAACTTAATTACAAAATAAATTAGTTTTCGGCTAACGTGTACGTGAATCCATTTGCGGTCGGAAGGACCTCTCCGCACAAGCTACAAAGCTCAACAGCAACAGCAGAAACAACAATGAAGCACAAATTTGCTGGTCCCATGCAAAACCAGCCGCAACGACAGTCGTTAAATGCCAAACACGCCACTCCCCTAAACAACTTGGGCAAACGCGGCAATCTGAAAGGAAAAAGGTTGATATTTTTTTAATTTGTTTTCCACATTTTTATATTAATGTAAGAAATATGGCAGCATTGTGTTTAAATGACGCCCATACACTAACAAACCTAAATTGTTAACAACAACAATTAAAGTCAAATGCGACAAATGCAGAATTTTGAATTAAAAACAGGAAACAGATAGCCAAAGTTAGCGAAATTGTAATGTGGCAATTGTGCGGAAGGCAGGAGAGGAGAATGCAAACTCCCCCGCTGGCAAACTCTAAATTGCTTTAGGCACTGTACTCAAGTTCCATAGGGGTGGAAAAAAATGTGTTTCCCACATTTCCACTGAAAAAGAAAATAAAGTATAATTATGGGTATTATTAAATGGGGCCTAGTTTCTTACCGGGTCAAGTCCATACCTAATGGCGCTCTGTCTAACTCGCTTTTCCCCGGAATTCGATCAAAATGTGCACAGAGTGAGAAACCCGATAAAAGTATGCTCTGGAATCATCTGTTTATGGTATAATCGAGTTTCGGAAAACTCGGGCTAATTTTGACCAATAAGTAGATCGCATCTGTATTTGCATATTAGGACGTCGTCACTTCCTTCAAGACCTCTAAAAATAGCAAGTGTAGCCTACTTATTTAATACGTGTGTTTGTGTGTATGTATGAGTGTATCCGTTATATCAGTCATTATTTGAATAAGACATTTTATAATTCGCTGCTTTTATGACGAACAACGTCTTGCTGCTTGCTGCTGTTGACACACTTATCAGCGCGCCAACGCCCCCCGATGGGAACACAGCAACAACAATAGTTGAAGCGCAAAACTCGCGCACACACGTGTTCAGCTGGCGGCAACAACACGAGGAACGTGCTTATTTGTGAAATTATTTGTGGCTGCCCTACTGGCAAACGGTTTAGCGGTCTAACGGTTACAGGCAAGGCTGTGTGTCTGCTTGGTTGGCTGCGGTGTTTGCTGGGCGGGCGCTGTTTGCTGCGTGTCGGTTTGATGTGTTTGTGGCAGCGTGCCATTGTTGGCTTTCATCTGTGTGGCTGATTCCGTACGAGAGTGGCGTTACCACTTACCGCCACTGAGATGAATGTGTCACCCATAATTGGAAACAGCGGCGAGGCCCATACGGCGGTGGCGTGTTCCTGTTAATAATAAAGACCATCAGCGCAACCAAAAAGTCATTGACTCGTTGAGTTATGGTAATAGCGTTTCCGTTTGCCACACAAACACACATACATGCGTGCTTATATCTGTGCAGCCAAGCTCAAGTGTGCACTATTTCTGTGAAGAGGTGGCGGACAGCGAGAAGCAGAGGGAAAGCCCAAAGCGACAATGACATAGCAGAACTCAGACTGGAGCACAACTTGTAACGCCCATGCGAACACACACTCACACACATGAGCACACTGGCATTAGTAGGTGTTCAGGCAATTCTGTATATCATGTTTTGTAATTGACTCGACTTCAATGTAACGTTATTAAGCACACACACACAAACATATGCCTCTCTTCGCCTCTATCTCTCCGTTACTAATTTCCCTCTCGCTCTCCATCTCTATTCGCCTGTTACCATCTACTAAGAGACATTTGTTTGTGGCGTGCTTTTGTGCAAACTACTGCGATTTGGCACTTGCTCAAGTGCTTGTGGCATGCTACACATCAAAACGAATGCGATAAGCACACAAACAAACAATGCCTTGTACGGGCAGGCACCGTTTGCTGGATATTGAGCGCATTCAAGCCCAGACCTAGCCAAATAATCGAGCAGGCAAACAGGCAGAAAAGCAAATAAACATACAGGCATCCGACTGGGAAACTCCGCGGCAAGAGGAGGAAGACGAGACGACTGCTCGCCGTGGCAAACTACCAAGCCATGGGCCGCCTTCTGTTGGCAGTACGAGCAGCAGAAAAGCAGCAACAACACACTCCTAATGACAAAATGAACAACAATAAAGGTTTGCTCTCGACGTGCGGTTATTTTTATTGTTGTTGTTCGCAAGGAAACTAAACCTCAACAAATCATCAGCAGCAGCATGATCAACTGACCGCACAGGATATGAAGTAAGTGTGTATCATCACCATCATCATCAGTCGCAGCAGTGGCGGTGGCAGCTGCAACTACAACAAACACTTTCTGTTGCAAATATGAGCGGCGTCAAAAAATAGATATTAGCTAAGTACGCACTCTAGTATATGAAAATAGGCCCAGCACGGAATTGGTGGTCCCTGTATGCCACACAAATCACAACATACTTGTACACACATAATAGCTTTGAGTCTGGGACTAATCGGAGTCCGGAGTCGTCACTGCCCTTTTGAACATCCAATAAATTCGAAATTTGAGTAGATCGCAAATACGTAAGTATTCATATTGTCTTACTCTTACAGCAAAAAAGTATTTCTGTGTTGCATTTAACATCAATCTAGATAGTTATTTATATTTAAGTTTAAGAAGTTAATATTAATCACACTAAAATTTAAGAATTAAAGCTCTCTCTACTTCATTCTATATATAAAACAAGATTTGATCCGTTACTCGGTACGAGTTGCTAATGAACTACTACACTTTCACAATGCTTCATTTGTACTCGTATGCTGATGCATGCCTAACCGATAAAGATAATTTTAAAATACCTATTAATACATTTTCCTAATATTTCTTGTTGTTGCTATTACGAAATCAGCAGTTGCATATTACCACCGACGTACAAAAGTCCATCAAATGACACACATTCTCTCTCGTACATATTCAACATGCGAGCTCACTTTAATGCACACATTGTGCCACTCACACACGTGCCTGATATGTGTGTGTATGTATAGGTATACAAACACAAATTAGTTGCCAACAAATTTCGCATTGCACCACTTTCATTCTATTTTCATTTTGCATAACTTGTTTGAATTTGGTGTTGTTGTTATATTTGTTGTAGCTATTTAGAACAGTGTTTCGACATTGTTCTTCTTGCTACCCTGCAGTGAAATATCACTCGAGTTGAGAAGCATGCCAGTTCACAGCCACAAAGTCGTGTCTAGAATTCAACTAGTCAGAAAGGTGTCCGACCTTCATCAATTATAGAACGCTTCATTAAAGAGTAGTTTCGTTCGAGCAACGGTTTCTCCATAATTGAACTTGATCTCTTTCATCACTAAAATTGCGAC